TGAACCAATGGAAGGAAGATCTTTCTGTCTCTCTCTTACTGTAACTCTGCCTGGCAAAAACAAACAAACAAACAAAAACAAAACACAAAAGCTGAATCAGAAGTGGGGTCGCTGGAACTCAAACTGGCACTTTGATAAAGGATGCAGGTGTCCCAAGCAGTGGCTTAACCTGAGATGCCACAATGCATGGCCCTGAACAATCAATTTTTAAGGGAAAAAATTTGATAGAACATATTTTTTGATAATTTCAGAATCCTGTAGTTCAAAGCCAGGAAGGATTTATCAAAATTAACTGAAGTTGAAAATTTGAGAACTCTTGGGTATGAACATTTGAGTTTTCATTAAACATTGGATTTATTTATTTTTTTTAAACTTTTATTTAATGAATATAAATTTCCAAAGTACAGCTTATGGAGTACAATGGCTCCCCCTCCCCCACAACTTCCCTCCCCTTTCCCGCTCCCTCTCCCCTTCCATTCACATCAAGATTCATTTTCAATTCTCTTTATATACAGAAGATCAGTTTAGCATATATTAAGTAAAGATTTCAACAGTTTGCACCCACATAGAAACACAAAGTGAAAAATACTGTTTGAGTACTAGTTATAGCATTAAATCACAATGTACAGCACATTAAGGACAGAGATCCTACATGAGGAGTAAGTGTACAGTGACTCCTGTTGTTGACTTAACAAATTGACACTCTTGTTTATGGCATCAGTAATCACCCTAGGCTCTAGTCATGAGTTGCCAAGGCTATGGAAGCCCCCTGAGTTCACCGACTCTGATCATGTTTAGACAAGGTCATAGTCAAAGTGGAAGTTCTCTCCTCCCTTCAGAGAAAGGTACCTCCTCCTTTGATGACCTAAACATTGGATTTAAATATGGGAAGATGTGTTAATTGAAAACTTCGGGGCCAGCTCTGTGCCTGCAGTTCTGGCATCCCCTGTGGGTGCTGGATCATGTCCCAGCTGCTCCTCTTGCCATCCAGCTCTCTGCTTATGGGCTAGGGAAGCAGCAGAAGATGGCCCAAGCCATTGGGCCCCTGAATCCATGTGGGAGACCCGGAAGAAGCTCCTGGCTCCTGGCTTTGGATCAGCTCAGCTCCCACCAATGCAGCCATTTGGAGAGTAAACCAGCAGATGGAAGAGCTTTCTCTTTGTCTCTCCCTCTTACATAAATAAAAAATAAAATCTTTTGAAAAAAAAATTTAAAATTTCATGTAGGTTAGGATGATGAGCTTAATTAAAATTTAGCATTAACTTTTCCCCTGACTCTCCTGTGAAAAATGATATATAAGGCTAGTCCTGACTTTGTTTCGTTTGTAATAATTTTAGATATATTTTTATTAGGTTTTGACCTCTGATAAATGAGTTTGGATTTAATTAACAACTTAAATATTCTGATGGCAGTTTGATCCATCGCCAGTGAAATGTATATTATTTATGGGCTGCCTTTATTGAAGTGAAGCTTTTTGTTCATCTCCATGTTCATTTTCCTTGCTGCCTTTGCCTGGCTTGCACGTCAGCAATCATGTCTCCACCAAGATGGTAGCAGGCTGCGCCTTTAATGGATGAGTGGACCTGTTTTTTTTTTTTTTTTTTTCTCCTGATGTTTTATTTATCAAGGAACAACTCTAGGTGCTTTTAAAAATAATAATGTATTGTCTTTTTAAATAATAGGTTGACTCTTAGGTATCTTTTAAGTGACACAGTGGATCAGTGATATATTTGTTACGGCTCTTAAGAGAGGGTTTTCCGGTTGTTTTGGAACTTTTTCTAAAGTGATATACTCAGTTATGATCATGTAGATCATATACTGTAGATTTGAGTTCTTAAAGTCTGTTTGAATACTCAAAACATCTAGCTTCTTTACCTTTCTCTTAAGTCTCCACTTCTGGAGGTCACAATAAACTATTTGCAAAACCAGATCAGTCATTGTCACATATTTCAGTTGTGGCATTTGAATGGTACATCCTTGAATGCTTGTAAATGAGCATGCCAGAGAAAGTCTTTCTCTGATTTTTCTCCTGAGATGTTCTAGATAAATGTGTTGTTACAAGTTCTAAAGAGTGTGTAACCTTACTGATCTGCCTCTTTGGAAGGAAATATTTTAGAACCCTAATGAAATTACAACATAGGCATGAGGCTTCATGGAGTGTTAAAGGATTTGAAAGATGCGTATCAACCCCCGTGTTTCTTTTTTCTTGACGACAGAGGGCAGCAGAGTTCTAAATGAAGTGGATCCTTGTCATTTTGATTCTTCCCGGTTGCCTCTTGACACCTTATATCTGGTAGCAGAAGTCATCCAAGAGGGTCACCTTATAAAATTTTTTATTCTTGTCATTCTCTTTGTTCCTCTGACTTTGGTGAAATACACGTACATATGGAGGCAGAAGTTAATCAGTGCATTCAGATAATAATAACTGAATCTGAATTTTTCATTAATTTTTTTGATTTTACTGGTAATTTTCCATTAAATTCTTTGTTTTCATTTACTTTTTTATTCATATATCTTTGGGCAATTGATTTGGTAGGGAAAAAATTATGTGGTTCTCAGATGTCTTCTGTTATTTAAACTTTTAAGATTTTTTTCAGAAGTCAGCTCAAATTTATCTTGTTAAAATATTTGAAATGATCAAATAAACCTCTTTAAATGATTCTGAATATCACATACACAAAATGAATACAATTTTCAAAAAGTTTTATGGATTAAACTCTCACAGATTATCCTTTTGTTTTTTAGGCGATGAATCGCTCCCTGGCTAATGTGATTCTTGGAGGTTATGGTACCACTTCAACAGCTGGTGGAAAACCCATGGAAATTTCTGGCACTCATACAGAAATCAACCTTGACAATGCAATTGACATGATCCGAGAAGCTAATAGCATTATAATTACTCCAGGTAAAAAGAAAAAAGCAAGCAATGAAAGTAGATATTATAATTGAATATATTAAAATAATTTCTCATACTAGGAATAGAGAACCGGAACTTCTCATTTTTTAAAACAAAAATGTAAATAATAGCAACTTTGATTACTAAGTAGAAATACTGAGAATTCTCAATTTAGGTTGGGGGATCACATAGAGTTTCTATAGAAGGATATGGCAGATTCTGGCCTAGTCTTTCTGTGGCTCTGTTTACATGTTTAAGTCACTTTTGAGTCTTGGTTATTTGTTTTGTTTTCATTGGTAGTTTTTGGACCTATTGCGAAGATTCACTTAGATACAGTATATGAAAGTGTTTAGCTCACTCATTAGATTGACTCAGTAAATGTTAGTCTTTTTCCAAAAATAAATATTTAAAAAATCAACAACCATGTGGGTTCTAACAATGTGAAAGCCCTGAGGGGAACTTTGTCTACTAGGCTGCATGGCCTAGTAGAAATAGCTTGGTCTTGGAGTCATAATACTTTAGTTTGGTTCCGAATTTTGCTGCTAACAAATTTTGTGATAATGATGAAGTCATTTAATCTTTCCAGGACTCAATTTCCCAGTTTTTTGAGGTTAAGCCAGCTCTTCCTCACTATTATCACAGAATGCTATGGTATTACTGGCAATACATTGGCCTCAGATTAAGATTTTGAACTCTATCATGTTACAAAAGTTTTCTGTAAAGAAACTCTACTGATTTGACATGCGGTAGTTTATTGGTCAGTTTATATTAACATATAATTAATAAACTTTAGCTGAATTGAATGTTAAAGTGTAAGCACTTTTAACTTTGGAGAACATCACTGTCTAGGAGCATTTGAAACAAGTTGATTGGGAGTTATGGTTGTCAAAGATGGGGCTGTTACTGTCAATTAAGGAATGGAAACAGATAAACTAAATGTACTATAATGCCTGGAACACTCCTAGATGACAAATTGTCCCAGCCAAAGTGGCATTGGCATTATCTTTGAAGATGGAGAAACACTGAGCTGGAGTATAAAGGTGTAAAAGATCTTTCCCTTCTAGGTTTTTCCAATCTAGGGAAGAATTCCCTTATGTAGGTAAGATAAGTGGGCTCTGATAAGGGCTGAACTTTTTTGTGTAGACAATTCCTCTATCATGAGGAGCCTGAGAAGGTTTATAGGATGGGATTTGTTTTGGATGGTGTTTTGGAAGGGGAAAGGCACAAAGAATAGCTTGAGCAGAGTCTTGACATTTTGAAAAATGGGGATGGAAGAAAAAGGGCATCTGTGAATCATTGTATAGGTAGAAAGAACAGAATATAGGAGTTAAAGGAGAAGGAAGATGACCAATGTTTTTGACTATGCCTGTAATAACATCAGAAATTTGGGTGTGGGAAAAAATTTCAGCTTCTTGTTTGGAGACATTACATTTAAGATGGAGCTATGACAATGGACATGCTGTGCTGGAATTCAGATGACAGGTGGAGCCTGCCTACAGGCCGGGGAGTCATCAGATGGTTGTTGAAGCCATGGGCAAAGCTGAAATTTTCAAGGAGAATGTGAAGGACAGCATTAAACCCCTGGGGAAATTTTGTCATTTAATAGGGAAAACAGGAGGAGAAAAGTATTCAAGGAATTTGAGGAAGAGTAGTAACAAAGTTAGGAGGAGAACCATGGGCAGCAGTGTCATCAAAGCTATGTAAGAAGAGAGTTTAAAAAAATAGGAGAGAGAGGGAGAGAAAGAGAGAGAAAGGCACATGCAAGTGTATGCATGGTAATGTGGGTAATGTGGAGAGATGGTGCTCAGTTGTGTCAGACACTATGAGAGGTTGAAGAAGGACCATTAGATTTTGACTTTCAAATATCCAGATTTTAGATTTGCTTTCATTTCTAGTTCTGTTAGCTGATTGCCTATGTTGGCATAAAATATATTTTGGTCCTCAGAGAATTTGTAGCTCACATGATTTCAAAATAGGAAACACATTCTTCTGTGTTCTCAATGTTCCTTGCAGGCTATGGTCTCTGTGCAGCCAAAGCCCAGTATCCCATCGCTGATTTGGTAAAGATGCTCACAGAGCAAGGCAAAAAAGTCAGGTAAGTGTTTCCCGTGGGAGACCGCAGCGCCATAAATGTGTGTAGAGAAAAAGAAACAGATGACTTGTTTTTACGATGGCTCTTTGTTAAAGTGGTATTTTATGTATGTAATCCTTGGTAAAGAAACTAGGTTGCTATTAAAAAAAAAACTATTGTAGTTTTAGCTTTACTTTCTATTTAGTTTTTTCTAGTTTCTAATAGCATTGATTCGAAATAGAGACTCATTTTAGGAAGAGAAATTGTATTCCAAATTCCCAGATACTTAATAATGGGAAAGAAGAGAACTCATTTTTCTCTCCGGTTTGATTTGGGGAAGGAGTTTGAGTGAAGCAAGTTTTGTTTCTTGGTTTCTGTTCACACTGAAGAAAAACAAAAGGTCTCCAAAGAGGACTTTTGAAGAGTAAGACCCAGTGATAAACCTCCATGGACTGGTGTCTGCTCTGCTGATCTACTTACCTTACTCTCAGTATAGAAAGGATTTCTCTCTGGTTGTTTGCAACAAAATGGATGAAGCTAGAAAGCATCATACTTAGTGAAATAAACCAGTCCCAAAAGGACAAATACCATATGTTCTCCCTGGCCTGTGATATCTAATAGAGCACCTAAAAGGTAATCTATAGAAGTGAAATTGACACTTTGAGAAGCAATGACTTTGAATAGCCCTTGTCTCGACTGTTGAGGAAGTTTTTTTTCTTTTTCCATACTATTTGTTGACCTCTACTTAACATAGAGTTAGTTAATCATGTGTGTATAAAGTTAATTGAAAATAGATGTTAGTAAAAAATAAGAATGGGAATAGGAGAGGGAGGAGGCAGAGAAGTGGTAGAGTAGGTGGGAGGGCAGGTATAGTGGGAAGAATCACCATGTTCCTAAAGTTGTAGTTATGAAATATATGAAGTTTGTATTCTTTAAATAAAAGGTTTCTGGGGAAAGTAAAGAAAGGCTTTCTGAAAAATGTTCCTACTCCAAGGCCATACTATGTTTGAAATATGAATTAGAGCAGCTGCTGTTCTGCCATTTGCATTTGGGCTTTGGAGTCTGCTCTTGAGGATACTCAGTAAAACATTGGAGTCCAGGACTCTACATTTTTAGATTATCCCCCATGACCTGGGTGAAGGGATTGAGGAAATATAACAATGAGGACATAGAATGATGAACCTGGTGACCGTTGTGGTACTTTCATCTATCCTGCTCACCTCTGGGTCTCCATTCTGAACTCCACTATAACTTAGGTATCAGGGAAGAGAAAGTCTAAAGTCTTTCCTAGAGGCCAACTGTTGCCCACTTTGTGGGGAGGCTGCTTCACTAGTAGCTGAGTTGACATGACACTAAGTCAGAGACACAGGACAGCTCATCAACCAGAACTAACGTACTCATTAGCATGTTACCAGATGCTGACAAATGTTAATGTCTGCTATCAAAAACCCTCTTAGATGTCAACCATATCCTTGTATCTGGGGGCAGCTAATAAGATCAGCCAAACAGTGCCTAGAATTAGAGTATCTGTGCTGGAATGGATGCATAATCTCAATCTTTGGCTTGATTGTCCCAGTTATTAATGGTGGTAAAAAGACTTAGATGATGGTAATCTGAGGGTTACCTAAATTGTCTTGGTGTCAGCTGTTTTCCTTCCTTTCCTTCCCATCCTTCCTTTTCTCTTTCACCCTCTCCCACCACTTCGTGTAACCTTTAGTGTACATGAGGTCAAAATATTGTGTTTTTCCCCTTTATTTCTAGTCATTTTATTATGGAAATAGGCTAACACAAACCCCATCACCTTGGTCTTCCCACCCACCTCCTCTCTTTCCCCATTGGAGAGTTGTTTTTTAATGAAAAAAATCAAAATACTGTTTTATGGTGGGCCTGTAACCTATGATATGGATGATTTCCATGTTTAGAAATACTCTTAGGTAACTTGAGCCGGCGCCGTGGCTCAATAGGCTAATCCTCCACCTTGCGGCGCCGGCACACTGGGTTCTAGTCCCGGTTGGGGCGCCGGATTCTGTCCCGGTTGCCCCTCTTCCAGGCCAGCTCTCTGCTATGGCCAGGGAGTGCAGTGGAGGATGGCCCAGGTGCTTGGGCCCTGCACCCCATGGGAGACCAGGAAAAGCACCTGGCTCCTGGCTCCTGCCATCGGATCAGCGCGGTGCACCGGCTGCAGCAGCGGCCATTGGAGGATGAACCAACGGCAAAGGAAGACCTTTCTCTCTCTCTCTCTCTCTCTCACTGTCCACTCTGCCTGTCAAAAAAAAAAAAAAAAAAAAAAAAGAAATACTCTTAGGTAACTTGAAGATAGAAGATGAGAAAAATTACTGAGTTCATTTTTAAATTTTGCATAATAGGCTTCCTTTTAGTTACCCATTCCTATTTTCATGCAGGATATTAAGCTGTGCTTCCATGTTAATGATAATCTTGCCACTTAGAGCGTTTGCAGACCTACATGTGGAAAGATGTGTTGAAGAACCTTTTATGATTTCCTAAAAAGAAATTGTTTTCATTATTCAGTCCACATGTGAAAAAGTCTATTGTATTAGTAATGTATTATACCACCACATAAATGTTTAGAGGATGAATGGCAATCTTAATAAAACAGAAGATGGCTTTCATATCTTAGTTATCCTTAGGGAAGGGAATGAATAATTTGACACACCTCTTGTTACCCATTGATCAGCCAAAGTCAATTAGATATCCTGCAGAATCTGTCCATTGTTCCATGAATGGATGTAGAGAAGAGCATCATAACACTGTGGGTAGCTTGAAGGAAGTCAGAATGCAAAAGAAATGAGTAAGACAGTTAAAGAAAAATGATCTGAAAAGTAAAGGGATAAGAAATAAATTTTTAATTTCTGACAAATATAGAGTGGCATTATAGGATGATTTCTATCACTCTGCATGAGAATATTAATTAATTGACCTAAAACTTATGAGAGGTATTTGATTGCGAATATGTTTGTGAATAGTTTCCCAATTATAAATTATTTTCTGTTGAAGTAATTTTGTGAATATAACAAAAGATTATTCATGAGAGAGCTTTTCATTGTTTCACATGACTGTTAACACGGTTTGTTCAAATAATTTATTAATAATAAACTCATTAATAATTGATCATTTAAGATCAGAAGAAAATTGTTATTCAATCTAATTTCCATATTTATGAATTAGGAAATATTAGCTATTTATATTAATCTGTCTTTCATATTAAAGATGAAATTATCCATTGATATATTGTACAGTTTCTTTTTTACCATAATATGTTTTCAACATGGACTTTGTAGCAGGTTATGTAAATCTTAAATTTGAACTAAATGGTAAAGGACTGTGCTTGCTAACATGATAATAGTAGACCATGATACTTTCCCTTTTCTCTTTTGTAGTTCCTGCATGAATTTTTTTTTGTAGTTTACAGATTCCTAAAAATGTTGATTTTACTTTATGTATATGCCATGATATTTTTATGGGGGGAAATGCAATTCTTTATGAAGTTAGGACATAAATATATGTATGTATATGTGTACACACACACACATATATACAGTTGTGAACTTTTTTCCTTTTTTTTTAGAGAGGCAGATGTCTGAGCAAGAGATGGCTGCAGCAGTTACCTCGTATTTTAATGAAATAAATCTGTATTTACAGTTTGCAGTAATTTAGTCCTTTCATCACTCCGTGGAGCTCCCATGGTGTTCATTGAGTACAGCTGCTGGGCCTCTGGTTTTAGTACATCTTTGTGCCTCAGGACCCCAGCATGCTTAGCATCCAGATGTGGTGACATATTCACACACATCCTCTGTGGAAATGTGCCAGAGTGGACATACGATTGTCATCAATTAGTTATGCCCAAGTGGTGCCAAGAAAAATTGCATCTGTCATGCAGTCTGGCGGGTTTCATGGCCCATGATTGATTTAGAGACACTCCTGTTTTTCTTTACCTTGGCCATAGCCATAACATGCTCACAAAGAGCTCAGATTATATAATGGAGCATATGACATTTCATCACAAGAACTCGTTTTAGAACGTCATCAAAGTTCATGGACTTAGCCTTTATTTAGTAGCCAAAATATTATTTCTTGATTGTACAGAATGGCTGTGCAGCTTGCCTCATTTTACGTTTGGTCTCTGAAAGCATTTTATGACAAAATTTTAGGAAACAAGAGGTCAAGCTTATTTTCTCTTTACTTCCCAATCTTTGTTTGATTATATGAATATGATAGCTTTTTATTATAAAGCAGAGATAATGTTAGAAAGGGATGAATGTTTTGTTTGCTTTTGTAATTAATCACTTCTTGATTTTCTTTGTATAAATCATTATTGCTTGTATTATCACAGAGGTCTTTTGAATTATGAAAATACTTTTAATCTTTTTTTATTGACATTATGATTGCATGTTAATAATTTATAAATAGGGATTTATTATTATGGGAACTTAAAGAATAAAAATGCTTCAGAAAGCTTATGGAAATGGGAATCAATCATAAATGTATTTTGGTACAAAGAAATTTTGAAATCCATGCATAGTTTTTTCATAATTTGTATTTCCATAAACTTCTTGAAGATTGCACATATGCTTGGATTTCAAAATTTTTTGCAAGAAATAATATTTTTCTTTTTTTAAAAGTTAATTACTTCCTTAGAATTTATATATTTATTCAATTTATTTGAAAGACAGAGATAGGGATAGGATAGAGATAGAGAACATGCCCCCATCCACTGTTCACTCTCCAGGTGCCCACAGTAGTCATGGCTAGATGGGCCAAGGCCAGGAACCTGAAACTCAGTCTGGAGTAAATCAGTACCCAAGTAAATGGTAGGGACCTACCTACCTGAGCTATTACCTATTGTCTCACAGAACAGTCATTCAGCAGGAAGTTGGAATTGGAATCAGGGCTGGGATGGGATGCATTTGTACCAAGTGGTACTTTAACTGTTATGCCAAACCTCCACCGTGAAACTTATCTTAGTTCCATTTTCCATGAACCTTTTGTAGTTAGCTTGTACAATAATGTGTAAGCCTAGTTGATGCTCTCAAAAGCTTATAGCTATAAAGAAAACCAATCTATAAACACACACATCAATGAATGAATTATTTAATGTGGTAGTGTGCTAATAAAAATACAAATAGTGTAGAAATAGGTTAACGATGTTAAAGAGAGTTGTAATTAGCTGCCCAGGTATATCTGGTATATTTTAAATGTTTTATACTACTCATAATATGAATTTTATATGGCTCTAAGAAGTCTCTCTCTCTCTCTCTCTCTCTCTCTCTCTCTGTATATATGTATTTCATCCTCTATCCAAACTCATCTAATTGCCTTTGATATTTGCAGTTTAAATTTTTATATTCTTGTACAACATATATATAGGTTTAAATATGTTATTTTTATGAAGAAATCAATACTTTGAAGATGCTTGAAGATGCTATTTTGTACATCTAGTCAGATTTGTCTGTGTTTCATGGATTTCATGTGATTCAAGTAAACAAAGTTTAGCTTTCTTGTATTTGTTATGTTTTGGATGGAAGAAGATCCAAGGCGTGCACATTTGTAAAGCAATAAAGGCACAGGCTTCTGAAGAGACTATAAAATAGATGAGATTGAAAAGCTGGCATAGTTTTTGAGCAGAAAAATAGACAGTGTTTAGCAGTTTCCTGTCAGCTTTGTAGTGCTTTTATTTTTTAGACATGACTGTCCAAATCAATGACCATTTGATGAACAAATAATTTTATAGTACTTCGGGTACATACTATTCCCTGACCTGGGGATGCATCTTTGACTACAACAAATCAGAATTCCTAGTCTTGTAGAGCTTACATTGACTGGTGGATTAGTTAATAGGCTTCAGAATATTCTGCATTGAAAATACTGATCACCCCGTTGTGTGATGCAGATGCTAATTCGTAAGAGAACAGCTATAGATTATTGCATCAGAATTTCATAGTTACGGCTGGTACTTTTTGGCAATGGATTAGCCAGTGCTTTCAGTTTTTTCAAAGAATATGATGTGCTTTTTTGTACTTTGCACTGAGCCCACCTTCTTGAAAAACATGGTATCAGGAGGGTGGATGTGATTGGATAATTTGTAAAATTGGGTTAACAAGTGAAATTGGTGGAAGAGAATAAAGAAAGTATGTGTGTTCAGTTAGTCTACACATTTGTTTAATCTATTGTATAGCACTGCCAGGAATCCCCCAAATCAAAGTTTCTGATTTGTTCCCAGCAAGTGACAATCTTCATTCCAGGTATTTTTGCTTTAAATATCCACAGCATATTGGTATGGTGGAAAGAACAGAAGGCTATCGTAAAAGCCTATACTTTAGGTGCTCTAGAAGGTCTGTTCCAGCCATACCATTCTAGGACCTGCTCCATACAAACTCGTCATAGGCATGCCAATGGCCTGAGGAAGAAACTCTCACTATTGCTGAAACCAGTGTCTCTAACCATTAGGGTGATTTTTGACTTCTAGTTCTGGTATTGGTTATGATATGCTCTTTGAGCTTAGTGTCTTCAAAGACATTCATGTGAAATGACAGAATATAAATAAATAAAATCTTTCTTCCCATTTCATATTCAAATTCTGTAGTATCTGTCTTTTAATTTTCATTTTATGATGCACATTAGCCAATGCATTCCCAGAGCCATTCGACAACATCATTAAAGTTATTCAAGCAGAAAAATCAAATCATGGATAATTTTAACTGAATCTCTAAAATATGCCAGAATATAATATTCTACAACATTAGTCACCAATTGAATTTTAGATTTTCTTCTGATATCATTCCTCATAGTCTTGTGCTTTTGAAATAAAAACAGTATCAGTACAGTTTCATGCAGTATCATACAGTTTCTACTCTGGGCCTGGTAGCTGGATTTGGTTCAGTGATGGAAAAGCCAGATTGGGCCCAATGTGTAATTAGTGTCCTTGGAGTGTGGCATGTAGTGTTGTGACATGTTCTGTGGAGGACTGCATTGCTGTTTGCATTGGATCATTTAACCTGATCCTCTTTAGATGACATCTCTCATCTCTCTGGGTGTCCTCTGTGTCTCAGGCCACTTGTATAGATGGAAAATGTGACTGTAGCCTGTCAGACATTTCCTCATTCACTTTCATAGAACAGGCTGTATTATTCTGTATTAAAAAAAAAAAAACTGTACCTCTGAAAGTGAATGAGGAAATGTTTTTTTTAAGGTCTTTGACTTTCTTTTCTTTTTTTTTATTTTTTAAACTTTTATTTAATGAATATAAATTTCCAAAGTACGGCTTATGGATTACAATGGCTTCCCCCCCATAACGTCCTTCCCATCCACAACCCTGCCCCTTCCCACTCCCTCTCCCCTTCCATTCACATCAAGATTCATTTTCGATTCTCTTTATACAGAAGATCAGTTTAGCATACATTAAGTAAAGATTTCAACAGTTTGCTCCCACACAGAAACATAAAGTGAAAAATACTGTTTGAGTACTAGTTATAGCATTAAATCTCAATGTACAGGGCCAGCGCCACGGCTCACTAGGCTAATCCTCCGCCTGGCAGCGCCGGCACACTGGGTTCTAGTCCCGGTTGGGGTGCCGGATTCTGTCCCGGTTGCCCCTCTTCCAGGCCAGCTCTCTGCTGTGGCCAGGGAGTGCAGTGGAGGATGGCCCAAATGCTTGGGCCCTGCACCCCATGGGAGACCAGGAAAAGCACCTGGCTCCTGGCTCCTGCCATCGGATCAGCGCGGTGTGCCGGCCGCAGCGCGCCGGCCGCGGCGGCCATTGGAGGGTGAACCAACGGCAAAAGAAGACCTTCCTCTCTGTCTCTCTCACTGTCCACTCTGCCTGTCAAAAAAAAAAAAAAAAAAAAAAAAAAGAAAGAAAGAAAATAAAAAAATAAAAAAATAAAAAAAATAAATCTCAATGTACAGCACACTAAGGACAAAGATCCTACATGAGGAGTAAGTGCACAGTGACTCCTGTTGTTGACTTAACAAATTGACACTCTTGTTTATGGCATCAGTAATCACCCTAGGCTCTTGTCATGAGTTGCCAAGGCTATGGAAGCCTTTTGAGTTCACTGACTCTGATCATATTTAGACAAGGTCGTAGTCAAAGTGGAAGTTCTCTCCTCCCTTCAGAGAAAGGTACCTCCTTCTTTGATGACCCGTTCTTTCCACTGGGATCTCACTCAGGGAGATCTTTCATTTAGGTTTTTTTTTTTCCCCCCCAGAGTGTCTTGGCTTTCCATGCCTGAAATACTCTCATGGGCATAGGAAATTAAATTAACACTTAATTTTTTTCATTTCATTTGGAATTGTTTCAGTGAGTTTGTCTGAATCACTTTTTTTTTTTTTTTTTTTGCTTTTCTTTCTTTTTTTTTTTTTTTACAGGCAGAGTAGACAGAGAGACAGAGAGAAAGGTCTTCCTTTGCTGTTGGTTCACCCTCCAATGGCCGGCGCACCACGCTGATCCGAAGGCAGGAGCTAGGTGCTTATCCTGGTCTCCCATGCGGGTGCAGGGCCCAAGCACTTGGGCCATCCTCCACTGCACTCCAGGGCCACAGCAGAGAGGTGGCCTGGAAGAGGGGCAACCGGGACAGAATCCGGCACCCCAATTGGGACTAGAACCCGGTGTGCCGGCGCCGCAGGCGGAGGATCAGCCTAGTGAGCCGCGGTGCTGGCCTTTTTTGCTTTTCTTAAAATATTATTAATTGGTGGCCGGCGCCGCGGCTCACTAGGCTAATCCTCCGCCTTGCGGTGCCAGCACACCGGGTTCTAGTTCCGGTCGGGGCGCCGGATTCTGTCCCGGTTGCCCCTCTTCCAGGCCAGCTCTCTGCTGTGGCCTGGGAGTGCAGTGGAGGATGGCCCAAGTGCTTGGGCCCTGCACCCCATGGGAGACCAGGAGAAGTACCTGGCTCCTGCCATCGGATCAGCGCGGTGCGCCGGCCACAGTGTGCTGGCCGCGGCGGCCATTGGAGGGTGAACCAACAGCAAAAGGAAGACCTTTCTCTCTGTCTCTCTCTCTCACTGTCCACTCTGCCTGTCAAAAAAAATATTATTAATTGCTTTCTTTTATTTATTTTAAATTTGATTTAAGGTATACAAGTTTGATACATTTCATGTATAGAGATTTAGGAACATAGTGAGACTTCCCACCCTTGCCTCCTTCCCACCCATGCTCCCACCATTCTGCCTCCTTCCTCTCCTTTTCCCTCTAAATTTTTACAATGATCTATTTTCAAGGTTTGCTTTATGATCATAAAAATAATCCTATACTAAGTAAAGTGTTCAACAAGTAGCATGAAAAAAAAAAAACACTGTTCCTCAACAGAAGAGACAAGGGCTGTAAACAATCATTGAAGTTCAAAATCTCTATTTCACTCCTATACATTACATTTTTGGTACTCTATTAGTGACCACAGATCATGGAAAACATATAGCATATGACTTTTTGGACTGGCTTATTTAAGTATAGTGGTTTCTAGTGTATCCATTTTGGTTGTAAAAGACAGGATTTTATTCTTTTTAATGGATGAGTATTATTCCACAGTGTATATATGCCATAACTTCTTTATCCAGTCATTAGCTGATGGACATCTGGGTTGATTTCATAGCTTAGCTGTTGTGAATTGAGTTTTAATGAACATGGGGGTACAGATCACTTTTTTTTTAACTTTATTTAATGAATATAAATTTCCAAAGTACAATTTATGGATTACAGTGGCTTCCCCCTTCATATGCTGATTTCATTTTGTTTGGATAGATTCCCAGGAGTGGGATTGCTGGGTCATATGGTATGTCTATTTTCAGCATTCTGAAGTAGCTCCACACTATCATCCACTGTACTAAGTTTACATTCCCACCAGCAGTGTATTAGGGTACCTTTTCCCCTACTTCCTCACCAGAATTTGTTGCTTTTTCATTTCTGTATGAGAGCTATTCTAACTGGGGTGAGCTGAAATATCATTGTAGTTTTGATTTGCATTTCCCTGATGGCTAGTGATCCTGAACATTTTTATGTGTCTGGATATTAATCCTTTATCAGTTGCATAGTTTGCAAATATTTTCTCTCATTCTGCTGATTGCCTCTTCACTTTGCTTAGTATTTCTAAACACAGAGATCCAGTTTTCCCAGAACCATTTGTTGAAGAGACTATCTTTTTTCCAGGAATTGATTTTAGCTCCTTTGTCAAATGTAAGTTGATTATCGATTTGTAGGTTGATATCTGGAGTTTCCATTCTGTTCTGTTGGACTACATTTCTGTTTTTGTGTCAATATAAGGCTGTTTTTAATTATAACTGCCCAGTAGTAGGTTTTGAAATCTGGTATTGTGATGCCACCAGCTTTGTTTTTGTTGTTTCAGATTGCTTTAGATGTTTGGGGTCTCTTTGATTCCATGTGAATTTTAGCATCATTTTTTTCTAGATCTGAGAAGAATGTTGTTGGTAGTTTGACTGGGATCACATTGAATCTATAAATTGCTTCGAGTAGTATGGACATTTTGATCTAACAACTTTCTGAATTTTAGAAAATTGGGTATCTGTCCTTTTGACTAAGAACTGCCCCTCCTCTTCTCCAACACTAATTCCATAACCTTTCTCCTTAAAACATCAGTTTTTGTGGACCTCAACCACCCTATCTGGAAGCTTTCTTATTTTTGTATTTTATCATTGTATTTATTTTCAGATGAATAGATTACCCACCCCGCTGGTTTGGTCTTTTCCTCACCAAGGATAGTTTAGGTAACTCTTGCCTTCTAATTTCATGTTTTAGAAGATTTTGTTCCAAACTAGTTTACTAAATTAACAAACAAAACTCTTGTGCTTTCAATCAGTGATCTGTAACTCTTAACCAGATCTGATTAGTATGTGATAAACCGGAGAAACTTGCCTTTTTAGTCTGTCACGTTTTTTCACAGGTGAAATGCATAATTATATGTAAAAATATTGAATATGTTAAAAATTCTTTTGTCACCTCCTGGGCCTTCCTCAGAATGGAGCATTGCCTCCTGCAAACAGAATGCAAAAGGTCCCTGAGGGACTCTGTTTAATCTACAGTAGAATTAAAGCCTGTTATATGACAGAACACTGTGTAAATGTTTTTGATGTCATTATAAATAAAAAATTTCTGCCTTAGGAAGCAGTTAGATTGGAGGATCTTTAAGCTCTCTGTTAACCATCAAGGTTGTTGTGATTTTTCTTTTCCTTTGATCTTAGGGCCTCTCTAAGGAGGGTGGCTATAAACTCTAGCCCAGCCCTGGCAGGGTATCAGGGGAAGTGGTTATGGAGGTTTGCAGTGTGCCTTTTAAGGGACACCTCTTTAACCTGAAAAATGACCTAATGTCTAAATGTCTGACCTGTGACCAAGTGTCCCTCAGACAGGATTCTTGTTTCTACTGGTGGACATCTTTATGGTACTTGTCCGGCCTGTATTAAGTTTATTCCTACCAAGATAGCCACTCTCTAGGGAAGCCCTGACCAGGAGGAGAGTTAGGTTCAATTGTGTTGGTCAGGGTATGACATAGAGGAGGCAGCAAAACAAAACGTATGTAACAACAGAAGCAGATCTTATCACCTGCAGATCCTAGAGCAAAGAGGAATGCTGACAGCCAATGGGAATATCAGAGGAGGAAGCATGCTGTGTTCCACCGCTTGGTGGGGGGCACGTGTGTGTGTGTGTGTGTGTGTGTTAAAGATTTATTTATTTATTTGAAAGGAAGAGTTACAGAGAGGCAGAGAGAGAGAGAGATCTTCCATCCGCTGGTTCACTCCCCAAATGGCCGCAACGGCTAGAGCTGGGCTGATTTGAAGCCAGGAGCCAGGAGCCAGGAGGTTCTTCCAGGTCTCCCACATGGGTGCAGGGACCTAAGGACTTGGGCCATCTTCCACTTCTTTCCCAGGCCATAGCAGAGAGCTGGATCGGAAGTGGAGCAGCCAGATCTTGGACTGGCGCCCATATGGGTTGCCAGCACTGCAGATGGCAGCTTTACCCACCCTGCCACAGCTATGGCTGCCCATGTGTGTATATTTACGTGTGCTTATGAAGTGGGGTGTAGGGGGAGGAGAGAGAGAGCAAAAGAAAGAGAGAGGGAGGGAGGGAAGAGAAATTGCACTCCAAAACCTTTATTGTGATCCTGGATGGTACCTACCCAATTTACCTGCAAGAAGTTCTAATTGTGGCTTTAGATAGTGAAGACAGGGGCCATGGAACACTTTAGGTGTGGCCACTGTAACATATCTATACAATCAGTACAGGAAGGATGTGGGAGTCAGTGGGAGAGTCCTGTAGGTTGTATCTATGTGAGGTTATTTCAAAGTTTATGGAAAAGTAGAATTAAAAGTTTATTTTGCTAGAAAAAGTTATTTTTTTCTTCTAATCTGTTTCCATAAACTTTTTGAAGAGTCTTCATATGCATGGATTTCAAAAATTTTTGTGCCAAAATAAACATCTTTTAGTTCTACTTTTTTTTTTTTTTTTGATGAACTGTGTGAAGTACCCCTGTATGTTTTATAGGTGTAGGCCCAGACAGTTCCCTGGTCATGTGGGGCAGATATCTGGATCAACCACAAGGAGAGATGGTAGTTATATAGGGCAGATAATCTGGATTGGCTACTGGGAGTAGGCAAAAGGGTCCAAGTTTTGCTTCTTGTATAAGACAGTTAACCATTTACTCACAATGGATTTCAAGACAACATAGAATTACAAATATTCATTACAAAGGTTTTATTGATGAATAAATATTTATGACTTAGAAGGAAGAGGAGTAAGTAGGTTTTTGAACACTTTATTTTCTGTTTCTTTATTACTTTGTTAGTATCATAAGAGGTTAGAATAGGAAAATTGTGAGATGATGGAATTGAGAATGCAGAATTACAAAATATTATCAATGTTCTGTATACAGTTTGATTTTAAAAAA